AAGAGGAGAGAGAGAGAGAGAGAGAGAGGTCGAAGAATCTAGCAGCAGTTGTGTTTCACTTTTAAAAACGAAAGTACGAATCGCGTTATTAATTTCAGCCTTGGACGGTCGTCTTTTCGTTGCTTCGGCAGAAACTGGCTTTATGCGAATTTAAAATAAAGCTCGCAATCCGAACAGAAGAATACAAGTCGTCCGTTCCCGGTGCAGAAACCCTTCCAACGCCCCCCCCTCCACGGCCCACGTTCATGTATATTTCGTCTGGACTCCTTAATTGCGGCCTATTCTGCGTGCACCACGGCTCGCCACGGCCACTTAACTTCCCCGCGAGACACTCGACGATTATATTTGCACCCAGACACGTGCCCCCGCCTCTCGCCTCCCCCGAAATCGGCGCGCGCGTTTGTCTCCAAGCGTGCATCCCTCCTCGGGGAAAAAAACCGACGTTCTCTCGCGGTGGAACGCTAATCGACTCCCCTCTTGCGAGAATATTAATCACGGAACGATCGATTTATTCGTTGCGATCTTTTTCGATTTTTTTCTCGAAAGTCGTTGCTCCGTTTGCGCCGTGTACGTACTTTTTTTCAAATGGAATATTTTTTGAACTTTTTTCAATTTTTGTGAATGATATACTCGAGCATATTATTATTATTATTTTTTTTTTCCATTAAAAAACCACGTTTCAGGATAGGATATAATAGGGAATACGGATATCGATCTGTACAGGTATCTGTTAACATTTCGTTGGAGATATCGTCGCTTTCACTGAACCATTGAATAGGTGCAACGTTTCGTTGTTTTGCAATATACTACAATGGAAGTTGGACGATCATTACGAGCGTATCGGATTCATCGTCCCGGAATCGATATTCGACTCCCCCCCTCCTTTCCTCGAAACGATATTCAAGAATACTATTTCCCAAATATTTATTTCAACTGTCCACGATTCGCGATCACCGAATTATAAATTGCTCTTCGTTATTAGAAGATTCCAACTAAGAATTACCTCTCCTCCTCCTCCTCCTCTTCCTTTACTACTTAAAAATAATACAAGGGATTCGAGGCGAGGGAACCACACGTACACGCGTAAATAAGTACTGGCCAAGATTTCGACTTTCTCTTCTATTCGTTGGAACGACGGCCGGCCGGGCGAAGAACGAGAAGCACCACGACGCGTCGATTCACAAAGGGTCGATTGTCGTGTTGCGAATGCACGCGGCTCGGTTGACTCGTACAAATAACCGAGCTGTGCCCGTTCGACCAGCCATCGCTTCGATCGACGTATATTTCACGTCGTGTGCGCTATTAACGATCTAAGACGCCATCCGATCGAAACCTATCTATCTCTGTCCGCTCGATTCTTCCGTTTTCTCGCCCACCCCCTCCCCTCGACGCGCTCGAATAACCTCCCCCCGTGTCTTTCCAGCTCGCGATCGGACCGATACGCAAACGTGGAGAGAGTGTCGTCTCGCGTTTACTCACGCCTCGTTAATCGGTTCCATCGGTTCTCGGTAATCGCCACATCTATTCCCGCTATCCTGACTCTAATCTAAAAATCGTCGCCGCCACCGTCGTAAAAATGGATCGATCGAGTTTGGAATTTTTCCAGGGGACGCGACAATAAATACGCGTATTTCGAATCGAGCTTTTATTTTCCAAAAGATGGCAAAGTAAAGAAAGCTTATCGATCTGCATCGCGGTATGTATTTATGCGTCAAATTTATCGTTAAATCAATCTCGAAGTCGACACGCTCCAAGTAGTCGCGAAATCTGTTCCAGAGATCATCGATCACCGCTGTTATCGCGAGCAAATTAATCGATCGATTTTCCAAAAAGGACGAGAAGAGGAGATATATCGTGATATTTAAACCCGATTTACGATGCTGAATTTTTCCCTCCCTCCCCAAGGAATACGGTAAGATCATCTCTTAACCGTAATTGCTACATAAATTTCTCCCTCTAATTACTCGAACGATAAATCCCGATTATCTGATCACCGGTGATATTAACGGGGCCAGCCGCGTTTCGCGTGGAATTAAAAGGGAGGCCGCGGGCGGAACACGTCGCTGTCCCGCGACTCGATACAAGCCAAATCTCCGATAAGCTTAGCCTGGAGTTGGTCACGGTGAAAAGGGCGTTGTCAAAATATTAAGCGGCTCCACGCGTGTAAAACCATCGTGCTCCCTGAAACATTGGTTGGGCCCATTAACGATTCCGTCCCATCGAGATTAGACCAGTAAATCGACCACGGCGAACATCCGCGTGGACCACGCGAGAAGACGTGGAGGACAAACCACCAGTTGATCCATTATTCTCGATTTAAAAATCGTGTCGTTCCATCCGTTGGAATTATTTTCCCTCTTCCTCGATCGAATTTGATCGATCGATCCTCGTCTTAAGCTTCTTAAAATTACTCGTCCTTCTTTTTTCCCTTTTCTTTCTTTCATAGAATAGAATTAATAGAATTTCTACCGCGAGGCGAGGTTGTTATCTCTTGTTAGCTCTGGATTTGGATCGCATTAGGTTGACCAGCCTCGAAAAGTGCGCGCGTCACGCCGCGTGTCTCGTTCGTTTATCGTTGGCATGGAGGAGAAGTTTCGAAGATCGATTCGCTCCAAATGGATAGTCCCGATTATGAGCAGCTTTCTCCCTGGGTCTCATGGGCTGGTTCGTTTCCTTCCACCACGGTAAAGGTGTGTGTGTGTGTGTTGGCTCCACGAGGAAAACGCTCGATACATTTCATTTAATGAGGTATCGTTAAATTACAATCCGTTCGTTTCAATTCTCTTCCGATTCAATCAAATTCTCATTGGATCGCGTTTTAAATGGTATACGATAAAGAGGACATCCTCGATCTTACCGAATTCAATTCACCTTCTTCCTCCGTGAAAAAAATCCAATTCGCTCTCTTCGACTGGCAATATCACCGGTCGTTCCAAGACAATCGCTTATCGGATGTTGCGTAAAGCAGATAAGAATGCCGCGACAAGCTCGAAAATGTAAATCGCGAAATGTCACCTGTCACGATCGAATCTCCAACTCGATATCTCGATAATCGTTTCGTGCCCGATCGTTATTATCAAACGTGTTTTCGTTCGATTCTCGGGAAATTGAAATTACTTTGGAGGGAGGGGGAGACAAATAAACGAACGAGAATCGTAAATAATAATGATAGTAATACACCCACACCACACACCGGCGAAAGGCGCGCTGGTTAAATAACCATCACCACCTTCGCGATCGGATTCGAGCCGGTGGAAGAGATTTACGATCGTGAAAATATCGAGGGATAATAACTAACACGCGGAAGCGTTGCTGGTGCACCGTGTACCGTGGAAATAAAGCGAAAAAAAGAAGGAAAGAAAAAGGAGAGGATTGAACGTACAATTTGGGTCACGGAACACGAGCGTGTTGGTTCGCTTGGAGGGTAGAAAAAGAGAAGGAGGTTCGGATCGGGAAATTACCAGGAGTCGTAAAACCGATTTCGTATTGCTTGTCGCTCCAATCCTTTCTCGAAGGGGGAGAAAAGAGAATTGGGGGGAGAGAGAGAGAGAGAGAGAGAAAGAAAGGAAAAAATATTAATTCGACCGAATGAAACGACTCGGCCAACGGCTGCTTAAGGGCACAAACATCGAGTTAAAAGCGTCGTGAAAGCGCGTAATTGCGCGCGCTACGACGCACGCATTAATCTCACTTCCTCTTCCTCTCCTTCTCTCTTCTTTTTCCTCTCTTGTCTCACCCGCGATTGGCTTTTGAACGACGCGACAAGAGAATGGCGTGATGTACGAGCGTGGAATTGAAACCATATGGAATTAAACGAGCATGCTTCACCCCCGTGACTCCTATGAGTTTCTAATTATAATTTATCGTGCCCCGGGGAGAACAATATCGTTGCGAGAATAGAATTCTCAGGTGGCGCGAATTGACGAAAAATTGCCAATCTCTCAATCTTTAACATTTCAATCATTGGTGACGAGTGTCACTGAGCAAGTAGCTGCATTGCGTTCCTCGCCAATCTTTCCTCAATGCGCATCGACGTTTCAATCGTTCGAAGTAGTATCAACCGTTGTGGCCGGACGCGTTCCATTCTGACTGGAAATCGGTTCACATCCGTTCCGTGGCAGTTTCGTCGTTCGTTCTTTTTAAAAGAAGAAAGCGACGAGGTGCAACGTAAAAGGAGACGCGGCCTTTACAAGCTTCATATTTTCTTCCTTGTATAATATAAATCCTCGAAAGAATTCTTCTACATTCCTCATCGAGGAATGAAACGCGCGATTCGATCTCGTAGGGAAAAGGAATGGATCGATGGATGAATGGAAACGAATTTCGTGGATTATCATATCGTTGTCGAAATAGAGGGAAGATCCTTTTAATTTAGAATCGATCGAGTGGAATCCGACAAAAATAGCACACGATACGATGAGGCAAATCTGCAATCCCTTCTCCCCCCTCGTTCACAAAAGAATCCCTCTCGCGAAAATCCGTCACGCGTCTCTCTCTCTCTTTCTCTTCTTCCTCTTCCGTCTTCGTCTGAATCGTAAGCGAGTCGCAGGTACGAGGGGGGAGGGCGAGTGAAAAGGATAAGAAGAGTTTGAAAACTGGCAAAGGCGAGGAGCGGGACAAAGCATGTGTTTTTTTCACCGGTGGGGAACGGAGAGACAGGTGAATATAATACCTGCATCGTGGGTGTACAATAACGGGCGTTGTCCAGAGGGGCGAGACGAGACTGCCAGCAGGGGGGTGCACGCGTTTTTAGTGCTTTTCATCGCGCGCACCCCGTCTAGGGCACTCCATCACGCGACGATGACACCGTGGCTGCAGTTATCTATCCGGTTGTCTAGTCTAGAGTGTCTCTCGCTTTTCCACCTCCATCTTTGGCTCCTCTCTCTCTCTCTCTCTTTGCAAGCCGTTAAATCGTCCACAGACTCGTTCACGAATTCGTTGTTGTCCCTTGTTTTCGTCCATTTCTTCTCGGTCGGTGTTCCCCAGACCAGACCGTCGGGAATCTCGCATCCAATCCCGTGCGGATTCTCGTTAGAACGACGTCGTGAATGGGGAAAACAGAGGTTGAGAAAACTTGGACGCCGGACGTCGAATGGTTGGCAGAGACGCGTGCACAAACTCGGCTCGTTCGTCGGAGAAAGAGGTCGTTTAGACGTCTATGGCACGATTGCGTGTTGTTCGTTCGTCGTGGTGAATGAAAACGAAACGCGTCAAGGGAACAATGGGGGAAGTAAACGCGAGTTTGTATATATAGCCTGCAATCTCACCCCCTGTGCAACGTTCGTCGATTCCCTTTACGTGGTAAATCTCGTAAATTTTTGCGCGAGCGTCTCGAAGGATTTAGACGAGGGTTTAGGTGCGTCACGTGTCAAGTATCATGATTCGTTCGTTCCCCTCAAGAGTTTAACACTACACATTCTAATAGTCCGACTCATCATCCCGTAATCCGATAAGACAGATAGAAGTTGAGATAGGACGTTGAGAGGGTAGGATTGTTGGGATCTCTCTCTGTATGCGGAAAATTGCAAAACATCTTGCTACGTTTTCCTCGGGCTACGCGACTTAAAGCGTCGAAAGGATTATTGTTATCGTTCGTCTGAACGCGTCTTGGAACGATACTTTGGGAAAGGGAAATTCCGTGGAGAAAACATCCGTGGAAAACGACGAGTAATAAAAAAAGTACTGTACAAGTAATAGTACAACGAAATTTCTTTCAATGAAAAATGAAATTTTGCAATAATTATACCAATAAATTTCTTGCGAACGTCGATCCATAGATGCACAGTAGGAAGAAAAGAGAAAGAAGATTAATCGAAACGAGAGGGTTGGAAACTAGGGGGGCCTAACAGAGCCTTTGTAATTGGCGAATGAATTTCCCATCCTAACGAGCTGACCCAGATTTACCGGCCGAATGCGACGAAGGTAAACAGACAAATGGCGAAGTTTCTCGGTACTTACTGGTGAGTGGTGACGTTGAAGAAGAGGTGCGAGAATTGGGGTGCCGAATCCTCCGGGCCGTGGGGCGCCGGGAAGCTCGCGACCAGCATCACCGGCTTCCGTGCGAAATTGTGTTTACTTTGGCGTAGAAAAGTCACGCTGTCGTTCGCTATCAGGTCCGGGTAATAGTCCTTGCTGTACTCGAACCCGTGCTTTATCTTCTTCCCGTTCATGTTCACGCTGTAGTTGTAGTACCGTGAATTCATTATCAGACCTCCCCATTCCCGCCATCCGGGCGGTATGTACGATCCGTTGTACTTGTTCAGATACTTGCCGAAGTAACCTGGAACGTGTGTTCGTGATAAAGTGAATTACACTCTACTGGAAAGCCGCGATAGGGAAACTCGAGTCGATCCCTGTCGAAGATACGAACGATCGAGGAGGATCGTGAAATCGGAAGTCGGACGTTTCATCGATTCGGTTTTTATAAGAGTTTATTTGAAAAATTCTGGAGCGAAACAATCGTTGCAATCGGGAGTTATTTTTATCATCGAAGGATTGTTTGTCCGCCGATTGTAATAATTTTCATCACTTCGATGTGTCGATTAATAATAAAAAAAAAAAAAAAGAAAAAGAATAACTCTGGAAAAAGAACTTTTACTTGCATCCTAATACATTCGATGCAAACGATGTGAACGCCGTATGCGTCATGGAGATTTCTATGGATATTTTATGGTGAACGATGCATACACCGTCGGCGTCATGAATTTTTCCAAGAAATATGAAATGCGTTTCTACGTATCTCGCTTTTCTCATCCCGTTCGGTAATAATTTTCGCGCTTTATAACTGTTTTTTATATTTATCAAAACTCAATATCCACCTTGCTCGAGAGAGAGAGGCCCATTCGATTTTTTTTTTTCTTCGCACATCGAACGTGTTAAACCTATTCACGCGCTCCTCTACGATTAGCACGTTCTTTGTTTCCCTGTCAAACGTTATGTAGCCTGCACTCGGTTTGTCTCGATAGTCGATCGAGTGCGTTGGGCAAAAAAAGGCACCGAATCAGAGTGTTGTCGTCAGAGTGAGTAATGATCACGAGGCGTGGCAGCCTCGTTTCAACCGGGCTTAATAAAAGAAAGATCTCTCTAAGTAGACCCCTATTTGCTATCGCAATAGTAATTAATGTGCTATGGACACGCTCAGTTCGTCGCAGGAACTGACTCATGTAACAGATCGATTACCCCCGGCTTGCTTTTTGCTCTCGTTTTCCACACCCCTCCCTCCCCCTCTCCCCACTCGAATCACTCTCGATTGACTCTCTTAACAGAATCCATCACTCGGTCTCGATCGATTAACGCAACTTTCGACGCGCCAACGAACGAAACAGCGTAACGTAAATACAGGACGATGAGAATTTTCGCGATCCTTCCATCCTTGGTGAATCCGCGAGGATTCGAAATTTCCAAGGGAATTTCCCGCCCGCGATAAATCAAAAAGGCAATCCCATTTTCCGGGCCGGCCCCTCGATGCGCGGGAAGAGCACATCGGTCTTCGGGATTCATCTCGGGGGCAGCGTTGAATTATTCATACGGGGCACCATCAAATAATTAATTCAAAAGTACCTACACGCCGTCCCTTTCGGTGGTAGCCGCGTTTACATACCTGTAGCCGCATCGCTATCGAACAACGTATAAGTCGAGGGGGGGGTTGCAAGGGGGCTTATTTATAACAGTTGCACGAAGAAGAAGGGAGGCGGATGGTTTCGACGGAACGGGGCAACTTTTTGCGAGGCGGGCGAGGACCACCTCGAGACGGGGCAATCGCATTACTCTCGTTTTGCGTTAACCGATGACATCTCAATAAACGGGCCGCCTTTCGATATATACTAAATATAAAGGACGGTAAATCTTGTTGAGGATGGGTTGCTTCGAAAATTCGTCCTTATCCCTTCCCAATATGTTCGTATATTCGAGACGGGGCGCTCGTTAACGTCTCGAATCCTCTTTGAAATCTCGCGAGTCTTGGTGTCTCCTTCTCATTAACGCCGGGTTAAAAAACGGTTTTTCTCGAAATTTTCGGCTTCCTTCCGAGTGATAGAGTTTCTCGGAACTTCTCGTTTCCAACGAAATTTGAATGACTCGACGTTTTGTATCCAAAAAAAAAAAAAAAGGAAGGAAGGAAGAGGAGAGGAAACTTGGATGGCCAGCACGGTCGAAAGAGGAAAAAGGAAGAACATTTCAATTTTAAATGTCAGGGATGGTTTTAAAAATGAGTCGACCGGCGATCACGCGAGCTGACGTTTCCTGCGGCGTGTCGGCAGAGAGAGAAACAGAGAGAGAAGGGACGAAGCGGATGTTCGACCTGATTTCTTCTACGACGGGGGCTAGCGAAGTGGATGGAGGAGAGAGAAAAAAAGTAGTTGCGGATTAATTAGCGACGTAGTTTGAAGAAATTCGCTCGGTTCGTCCGCGGCCAGATACTATCGGCTCATTTTTTCTTTTTTTTTTTTTTCAAAGCGAGACACCAGTTTCTCACGGAACTGGTTTAAAGGATCGAAAAATTTGCATAAATGGCCTGGTCGTCTTAACTCTGGTGTTGGTGGGCCGCGTTTAAAATTACGCTTTAATTATTGATAATTCGAAATTCATTAGCTGTACCGTGCCGTGAATACGTTAAGAGCTTGTCCTTTCGGCAAACGAATTAATCACCGTGGACTGTTATCTTCGAACACGAAGTGCGAAGAAACTTTCTTGCTTGAAACAGCAGATATATCGGGGTGCGATCTTTCATCGATAAGTCATTATATTAAAAAAAAAAAGAAAAGAAAAAACGATCCACGGTTGAATAATACGCACAGTGTATTTATATCGATTATTCTTAGGCCTATTTGCCTAGAAGCCTAGGAGCCAGCTTAACAGCTCTCTAAGGTCGTTGCCTTCGCATGACACTGACTTAGGCCCAACCTAAAAATACCTGGATACACTGGGGCAGCTGTAAATATCAATTAGATTGTTATCGTGCGATGCACATGCGAGGAACGTTGATCACAATAATGATCAGCCAACTGGTAACCAAGTTTAATTGCCCCTTCGTCATTTCAATTAATCAATGTCCCGCCATACTCTGCTATTTCTTATTCCATCGCCTCTTAAAAATGCGCATACCTCGAAAACCCGCAATTGCTTCTCCATCTTCGTCCCATCTCGCTATTCATATCTCTCTCTCTCTCTCTCTCGGTATTTTTAAATCATCGCTAATCTTCGTATGAAACGAATATCCGATTGGTGGCCGCAAAGCCATCTTTCATTTCGACGTTTTGGCTCGCGATAAGTCAGGCCTCGGAGGCTTGGCCGCAGCTTTGATTCCACGAAAACGAGTGTTGTAACGTCAGAAAATAAGATTGGTCCCCGTTTCGTGAATTTTTCGCCTATTCCCGCCTACAACACGGGCGGGATATATGTATATCCGTTGCATCGACCGCTCCACCATTCTCCGGATATTCGTTTTGTTCGAAAGAAAAGAGAGATGAAGAGAGGGGGAGAAAGGAGAATGCGGAGCCGCGACTGGCGCCAGGATATCACGGTTCCTCCAGCTCGTCCTTTTGTCCTGCTTTGTCGGACAGACCGATCGACCGGCTCGGCCGACTACGTACCGGCTTTTTACGATCGAACGCCATCGAGACTCGTCTCGACTATTATTTTTGCATTTTTACCCGCGCTTTCGCTGCAACAAACGGCAAGCATTGGTTGCAATTCGAGAAGCAACAGGTAACGTTGCGTCATCCCTCGAATTGGCCCACTTTCTTCTCCCTTTTTCTCGTACATTTGCTATTTTGTATTTTGGCCAGAGATCCTAGTTTTCGTATCGTGAAGGAAAAAGTTAATGCAATTAAAAGAAGATTATCAAGATATTAAGATCATTTGATCAATTACACTCGAATCAATTGATTAAATTTGCTTCAATCAAAGGATTTTATAAATTATTTTATACATATTTATTTTAAATATTATTCGATTAAACTTAGGTAAACTTTAAATTACTATAGCTTCGAACGTAAGGATTTTCGATCAATGGATGAAAGGTTGTTAAAAGCAGGGAAGTTTTCTCTTTGAAACGCATTTTTGTTTATCTCGATACGACTTTCGGTTTCCAAGATATCGTCGTGTAAAGAAAAGATAATTTTTAAACATCTTACGTTAAATCCGATTAATCCTATTAAAATTAGGTAAACTTTAAACTGCTATAACTCCGAAGATAATGAGTTGCGATCAACGAGCGAACGATCGTTAGAAACGTGAAACCTTACCCTTTAAAACGCTTTTTCGTTTATCTCGATACGACTTCCGGTTGCCGAGATATCGTCGTGCAAAGAAAATGGTAATTTTTAATCGTTTATTGTCTCCGTCCTTGTCCCTTACTCGGACTTCTCGTCTCGCTGACCTATCCCAAACTGCAGACAAGTGACAGTCGCGATTCCTGGAAAAGCGTAGTACGCGATTCTTGGAAGAACGTTGTACGCATTTCCAGGAAAAATATAGAACACTGGGTCCATTCATAATTTCCACATCGAGCGGATATTTTGACTTCTTATATCTCGGCAACGGATTGAGATATCGTGATAATTCAAAAAGTGACTTCGATAGCATGGTTTCCTCTATTTTTTGTGCGGGTTTTGATTGAAAAAATTTTCAATTTTTTTTTGTGATTTTCGTACGAAATATTAAAGTTTCATTTGTAATTTTGCATTAATATGGTTCGTGTCATAATATAAAATATATAGCGTATTATCTGTTTCAAATAATATAACATTTTTTTCTGTACATAAGTTGAATATTTTGCTTTTTTTTTTTTTTTTGTAAACATTATTGATACAGACAAATCAATTTTAAACACGAAAATTCTCATTCACCATGCAATATTTCATAATCAAACTTGTGCAGCTACAAGTGTGCATATATCACCGGTACTTACAAAATCTGATAAAGCAAACGAGGATAAAGTTTCTTCCTCCAACTTGGAGCTTCGTTGCACGCTTGTCGACATCATTTTCGAATTCCCCGAGTCACGAAAGCTTAATCCAAACGCCTGTTCTATACATACCCCCCGATTAGCAAACGGCGGAATTAGCAAGGAGCTTGGTTGCACGCGACTTATATTCGTCGGATCGCATCGCGATGAACCAAATCGTTAATGGTCGTCTTCTCGCGATTATTTCGGTCTGTTTCGTGCACCCGTGGTATTAACCCCCTTTTCATCGCGGGCTCGTTCGCGTGCCGCCCAATTTCTAACGATTTTCGAAACGTCGCCCGGGACGATTTAAGGGTACATCGCATGCATCGCGA